AATATATTACATTCCTTTGCAAGCATACACTCCATACACAGACAGACAAACCCACCCCTTCATTCACTCACACTGACCCACACACTAATTCACCAGTGCATGCAAGTTAAATGAGAGAAAATACATTAAAGGGACACTACAGTCACCAGAACAGCTACAGCTTGTATTTGTTTTGGTGAGTATAATCATTCCCTTCAGACTATTTGCAGTAAACACTGTCTTTTTTATATTTACATCACAGCCTAAGGACCTCTCTTGTGAGCACTCCTCAGGTGGCTACTATAGGTGTTTCCTGGGGCAGTGCTGCACAGTGTGATTGACATTCAGTGTCTCCATCCTCTACATTCCAATACATCTCTATAGGAGATGCTGATTGTCCAGGACTGTGTTTGTCTTGTGCTGGCTCTGCCCCTGCTCTGCCTCCTTGACCGTCTTAGTCAATCCAATGCTTTCATATGGGAAATAATTATGATTGGCTGAGGGATTCACTTCTGATGTTGTCAGCCAAGCAAGCAGATCATGGGTAGAGGGCATGGAAGGGGATCAGGGGGCTTGATGGTGTTTTTAACACTATAGGGTCAGGAATACATGTTTGTGTTCCTGACCCTATAGTGTTCCTTTAAAGAAGCCACAGGGAAAACTTTTTAAATGTCCATATCATGAGCCTATTAACGCATGTACTCAGTCTATGGTTTCCACAAAAATCTGTATCCTTTAACTAGCATGATCACTTCTGCATTTTGAAGTAGTCATTGTAATAGTAGTCTGGGTGTGCAGTATTTCTGCTTAAAACACTGCACATTCACAGTTATTTGCACTTGAGTGCCAGGGGTAGGTTGCGCCCCCCCCAGCACATGTGACTTTGTGCATATATTATGTCTGTCGTCCACACGCACTGCATGCTGGTGATAGAGTCCCAATTTGATGTAGGATAGAGAGACAGACCTGTCTTAATTTGCAAAAAGAAGAAATATTATGGCACTGTGCACTATTTATAACAAGGGCAAAAGAGACCATACCAGATCCTCTCTTATTGTCAGACATGAGGTGGGGTGGAATAATGTGTGCACAACGTGCAGAATGTATGCAAGGTAAAATGAGTTGTTTTGTAGATTCCCCCCCCCCCACCTCCTCTCCCTAGCCAATTAGCTGACAATTTTCATGGTTGCAGAGGCCGGTTGGTTTCGGTATTTTCATGGTTGCAGAAGCTGGTTGGTTTCGGTATTTTCATGGTTGCAGAGGCCGGTTGGTTTCGGTATTTTCATGGTTGCAGAGGCCGGTTGGTTTCGGTATTTTCATGGTTGCAGAGGCCGGTTGGTTTCGGTATTTTCATGGTTGCAGAGGACGGTTGGTTTCGGTATTTTCATGGTTGCAGAGGCCGGTTGGTTTCGGTATTTTCATGGTTGCAGAGGCCGGTTGGTTTCGGTATTTTCATGGTTGCAGAGGCCGGTTGGTTTCGGTATTTTCATGGTTGCAGAGGCCGGTTGGTTTCGGTATTTTCATGGTTGCAGAGGCCGGTTGGTTTCGGTATTTTCATGGTTGCAGAGGCCGGTTGGTTTCGGTATTTTCATGGTTGCAGAGGCCGGTTGGTTTCGGTATTTTCATGGTTGGAGAGGACGGTTGGTTTCTGTATTTTCATGGTTGGAGAGGACGGTTGGTTTCTGTATTTTCATGGTTGGAGAGGACGGTTGGTTTCGGTTTTTTCATGGTTGCAGAGGACGGTTGGTTTCGGTTTTTTCATGGTTGCAGAGGACGGTTGGTTTCGGTTTTTTCATGGTTGCAGAGGACGGTTGATTTCGTTTTTTTCATGGTTGCAGAGGACCCCACTGCAAGAATAATATTCCAAGAACCCCAGGATGAGCTGCAATAGATGAACATTTGGAGGCAGTATTCTGTCCTTCATTCTTGACAGAACAAAATGAAATATGGCTTTAGAATGGCAGTTAGTAAGAAACTAACTAAGATATTTTAAACCAGGGTTCAAAATTCCATGTCCTACACTACTAGCCAGGCCTTCAAATTTCCTCCTGCTACATGACTTATGGGAATGGACAAGGGCAGAAACACTGCATCGTTACCAAACCCTGAAATGACTCATACAGCATCCAACAAGTACTGTAATGTTTCAGGATAACTTGTACAGCTGCCTATAGACTTTATACTTTCAGCTTTACTGCTAAGGTAAGGACATAGCCACATAGGTTAAGGAAATAAAAAAATAAAAATAAAAAGTAAAATGAAAATAACTTACTGGTATACATTTGTAAGTAATTTGGCTCGCACCATGTAGCCACACCTCCCACATTGGAAGGTAACCAATGTAACTCCGCCAATGAGAGATCGGTGTGAGCTGAGCTGTAGACAATCAATGTCCTCTTCCTCCGAGGGCCGGGTTTGCCTACTTTGCTACCCTAAGGCCTGTTTCTCTAATACATATGTGCACAAACGTTTTGTTCTGTGATTGCTTGGATGAGTGAAAGTGACTAGTTTTGGCTTTTTGGATGTGTGAATGCAAGTATTTTGTGGTAGAATTTAATGTTGAATGCAACTTGAAGGGGTGGTTGGATGATAATTGAGACAGGGCTGAAATAAGGTGTATGTGTGCTTAGTCTTCTTGTGGTGCTCATTGTTTCTGGGAACGCAGCTTGTAGGGTTATGTCTCAGTACTTGTCTGTGTATACCTTTTACGTTTCTTTATTCTCTGTGTACCTATCTGTATCTCTATTGGTGTGTGCCTGCCTGTCCTGTTGTGTCTGTTTTCATCTGTGTATACTTGTGTCTGTTTATGTACTTATCTGTGTTTAATACAGATTAAGGTAACAGCTCATACACACACACACACACACACACACACACACACACAAAAGTTTGCGATCTTAAAAGGCTACTTAAAATCACCTATCTTGGCAGACAAATATAAGGATTCAGTTGCGCCATATGGCCATATTGTGTTAAACCCACCAATAGGTTGCAGTACCCCAATATCCTTGCATTCTACACTAATGTTAAAACTGGAGATGAACAACACCACTGCTAAGTAATGCATATTCTGAGTGTGGCCCCATCACTATTTTATACCAGTGTATATCTGGAATCCAGACCAGATTCATTTTGGGTCGAGTACCCCACCTCTCCATTCCAAGTGCCACTTTGGAAGTGACCACAGGAAAGCATAAATTTGGGGAGAATTTCTGAAAGCTTAAGCAGTAAGTATTGCAGTTAACATGTTAATTTGATCATCATCAAACACCCAGACTCTTCCCAGAAATAATTCTTTAATCACATTTAATTTTGCCTAGGTGTAACAGTGTTGTTAAAAGGCACTCACATTTTTAATGCATGATGCCATAACCTACAAAGTTCCAAAAGTGAGCAGGATGACATTTCTGGAGTTAGATAAATGACATTAATTATCTCTGCTTACCTCATTCAAGGACCACTAAAGGCATACAGACCACTTGATCTCAGTGAGGGGATCTGGGTGCAGTGTGGTTCTTTAGTATTACCCTGTAATATGGAGGAGGGGGGGTAGGGGGCTGCATTTTCTGTTTTTAATTATTTATTTATTTTTAAATATTGCAGGATTAATACATCTCTAGTGGTCGTCGTACTGTTCCTTTAAACTGCTCGTTATGTGTTTGTTTGTTTTTTGTGTGTGTGTTTGTATTTTTGTAACGCTGCAGTAAAAATATATATTTTTTCCTTCTTGTTCCTACTAATTTTTGAATTTTTTCTCCCATTTTTGCTATCTTGCATCAACAACGTTTAGGTGACGAAAGTTCCTGATTTAACATGTCAAAGTGAAGCTTGAACAATTATATTGTTGCACGGGGGGAAATTAGGTTGTCTGTGTTGATCAGTCTCGGGAAGGGATGCTCAGATTACATGAAATGATGCTGTGCATGCTGGGACTGCGCAGTAGGATCCGAGTGCACTCCTGTGTTACATTGAACACGCAGGCTGTCTCTGGCTTTCATTATCAGCCATGCTCACCTTGAAAATCAACATCTTACCATGTCTGTAAAATATTGTTTTACTAGAAGTAAAAGGCTAATAATGACATCCTAGCTGTCCAAGAGTGAAACTCATTTATAATAAAAAGATTGCAAATATTGATGACTGGAATTAAGAGGTTGTGAGGTCTATTGATGTCTTTCTCTTGTGCATTTGAGCACGGCATGAGAAGCACTTCCACATTATATTGTTTTCTACTGGGGACTTAAGAAACCCTGCTATAGCATGCAGGAGGATTTACTGAAGTAAGAACTGTCACAAACTCAAAGAGAAATTAATTTTGGTCTAAACATTTAAATTCACTTTGCGAAGTGACCCTGATGGAGTTTAAAAAAAAAAAAAAAAATGTATATTCTTTATTTTAGTAATGCATTGTTAAGTCCACAGGTAACAATAAACATGACATTGGAGAGCAGTACAAAGTGTCATAAGAAATAATGTTATACATGTTGAGATTGCTGCACTTTTTTTGTTTTGGTAGAGGAAAAAAGAATAAACAAGCTTAGTAGTTCTGTCTGATAGATAAGTGAGCTAAATCAGGCGTTAAGTGATGACACTTACTGCATATGTAACTGACTAGGTAGGTAAGACAGGACCAACATAGAATGTGTGTAGTAACTTGCTAACGTGCAATAATGTGGCATAGTGTAACCACCGAGGAACAGTGGAAAACTGGGCTAGCCAGGTTTAGGTATCCGTGCAGACTCAGGAGACCTAAATGCTGTCAGTGAGGAAATGCAAAATTAAAATAAACTATAAGAAACACAAAAATAAAGAATATACAGTAGTCTGATGTAGACTTGGGCATATGTGGCAGGCCGCAGCATAGTCTCTCCTGAAGCCGCGCTGGATCAGCCGATGTCTTGACTTGGACCGGGTCCTGTGTAGCTCACACTGAATGCTTTAGTGGCTGAGTGCGTCCGGTCCTGTCCTGTGAGGATAGAGCTTGCACCCCATTTCCATTATCCCCACAAGTATAGGCTGGGTCAGTGTCCCGATAAAGTCCCTACAGACCCAGTGCGGCTTGTGGAAGGTGAAACCTCGGATTGTGTGGACAGTGCTCCTGTTAATGAGCCGAATTGTTTCAGCTTGAGTGGTGAGCTGTCACCCTCTGGTGTTACCCGGTGGTCAGGGGGAACGGAGAGATTGCGCTGTCTGTCATCGGATTGTTGCCAGCATGTGGTATTCAGGTCAACACCGACCTCCAGAAAGGTACACAGCCGCTGCTCGGGTAATGCAGCCTCTACTCTCCATCTTGTAATAGACTCTGCGGCCATCTTGTTTTTTTCCATGTGGGCCCAGGCCGGTCTCTCCACTGCCCAGATACTGTGAGTGAGCGCTGCGTCCTTGGTGGGGACCGGGTTAACCCCCACCAGTCCGGGGGTGGGGGGGAATGAGAGAGTGGGGCCCTGGATAGGCGTAAGAGAGGTCCTGCCGGACCAAGCACGGGAGATTGGCCGTTTCTCCCGCCAGAGCCTCACAGCAAGCTGCAAGCTCACAACATTTGCACAGAAGGTTGCTGCTTGGGTTCCCCTTGCTAACTGGCAGCTGCTTGAGGTTATTTCAAGTGAGAAGGGGTAAGTATAGGCTTATTATTGGAGATTTGTCGAGGAGCCGAAGTGCTCCATGTCCATCCAGCTTGGTGGCCAGGCTGCGCCCCCACCCAGATGGAGTTTTAATATCTAGAAAATGACATCCACTGCTCTGTGAAACTAAACCAAAACTGCTTCATCGAGCTAAAGTTGTTCTGATGCCTATAGTGTTCCTTCAAATCGTTTAATCTCTTTTTTTAAAAAAAAAAAAAGGTTTGTCAGAGTCCAAGACTAACAAAGCCAAACCTCCTAAATATATTGTTGTTCCAAGATTTTATATAGATCTAATAATATAACTCTTCTATGGCTCCCAAGAAAAACCAAGGTGACTGATAAAAGTGTCTGCTTGGCTTTTAAATTATGTAACTATTTGCCCGTGAGGTTGGAAGGGAGATTTTTTTTTTTTTAAATTCAAAGTAAAACGGCATGTAAGCAACAGAATCTTGGTAACCTTGACTTCGAGATGAGTGACCTTGGACAGCTGTACAAATCTGTAAGAGGAGCATCATCCCAATACATAGAAAGTTTGACCTCATGCAGAAAGCTCAGATTACATGGAGCCACGTGATTTCTAAATGACATGCTACAATCGTTAAAGCAGAGTATCGCTATCATAACCTCAGACACGTTCCTTACTGTGTGGCCTTTTTTGTATGTTTTAGCAGAGCTACGGAAGGCTTATTTGCAGATATATGCAAATTCTGTTCTACCAGATCTGTAGTGCTTTGACTTAAATCCCACAATAAATAGATTTTAAAAGTGTTGAATCAAATTAGACTTTGGTGTTTCTAGTGGCAGTAAAGACAGAGTAGGTTGTAGTCAGTGTTTTACAAGCTGTCACATAAATCTAGATTTGCAGAAATATGTTGTCCCACCTATACTTAGTCAATTTAAGGCAGATTTAGTAAAATCTTTCAGGAACTGTATGTTATGTCAAGTTGTATAAAATTAAAGAGGTGCTTTAGGTGGCCCATACTTGCTTTGCAATGTACCCGATGTTTAAAATAAATCTGGTTTCAAATATATTGGGTTTAACTAATTTTGCAGATGTATGAATTTTGAGGTGTGCATTCTGTGCTGTTCCAGCTGCAGTAGGGTGTCACCGCTTATTTTTTTTAATCTATTAACTGATAATAAAATAGTTCTGCTTCACATAGACTCAAACTCAGCCTGTTGTAACCGGGCCTTTATTTTGTTGTGGCAAATGGATGTCAATTTCTATTTTCGTTCTGTCATATATCTGATATGTTTAATCCCAAATGTGTATTTTTCGCAAGATGATTTGGAAATTAACCTCTTAAGGATCAAACTGCTGGAATAAAAGGGAATCATGACATGTCACACATGTCATGTGTCCTTAAGGGGTTAAAGGCCTTTAAATGGTAGTAATGCTTGCAGGAAAAAAAATTAACAAGATTCACATAAATACACAGGATTAAAGTTCTATGGGTAAAGAAAGTAAACTGGGATTAGATACAGAGCCAACGAAGCGCCACATTAACTGTAACAGAGTGTAAATTAGAACCGGAGCTTTAGTTAGCTGTAGAAATACAAATATAATATGATTTAACTAACTGTACAAACTATTCAACTAAATACACTTGCAACAGCGCCACCTACTGTCCAGAGTGTGCACCTCGGTCTGACATCACAGGAGTTTTGCCGTTCCAATTTACTGTTACATGGTGCATGCGCGCTCTGTAAACCAGCAAAGTATTGTGGAGGAGGGAGGGCGGGGAATTGAAAACAAAACAAAAATTGCAGAGGAGATAGAGAGGGCTGCATTTAGTTGGATGGAGGAGGAGGAGGGAGGGCAAGGGATTAGAAGAAAATATCAGATGGGATAAGGAGGGCGCCGGGCGGCCTACAAGGTAAAACCAATTACTTTTGTCAGCATGCAGTGTGCGCTGACGACAGACCTAAAATAAACACCAAATTGACAGAACAGAGTCCTGGACTGCTTAAGTCACGTGCACCGGGGGTACAACTTGCCCCTGGCAGATGTGTCAATAACTCTAGATGTGCATGTTTCAACATTGCACATTTAGACTCCTACCACCATGACCACTTCAAAAAGCAGAAATTCATCGTAGAACATGCAAGCAAGTGTTGTAGCTTTCTAAGCTCATGAACCAACAAACGAGTCTGAAAGTGCACATCTCCATGTGATAACGGTAACATCTGTGTAAACTCAGGAAAGTGGCGTTGATCCTGGAATCCATCAGTGCGTGATAACTGTTTTTACTGGCAATGCTAGACCCTCAGTAGTGGGCCTGTGCACATGCACCGTTCCATAGCCTTATGTTTCCAATGAAGAAAATGGCTTTCATGCTTGGTGTACAGGTTTAGTTCTTCAGTAAATAGAGAGGTCATATAGAAGCAATATGAGGTTAAAATATTATCTATTTCTTTATAAAGTGGTTTATCAGACAGAATAGATTTAGGGATGAATTTAGTAAATAGAGGGTTGACAAAAAATGGCAGCTCTAAATAATAGATTCTCTCCCCCTCCTCCCCCCCTCTCCCAGTTCGGTGTGCCTTGTTTTGTGATTAGTACTGATAAACTCTATACTATACACTATAATTGGGGATCGACAGATATTGATATTTTTATTTTAGAGCTGATAGCTGATAACTTACTGATATTCTGTACATTTACCATTTTGAAAAAAAGAATCCATTTCTACACAAATCTACTGTTAACTGGAATTTATTTATTTTTGCAAATCTTTTTTTTAAGTGGTAAATGCACAAAATATACATGCCAGTCAGATTTTTTTTTATGGTTTCAAGAACATTTATTGTACCTCTCCCCTCCCTGTCCCTTGGTGTACTTCTCCCCTCCCTTCCCAAGCCCTTGGTGTTCCTCTCCCCTCCCTGTCCCTTGGTGTTCCTCTCCCCTCCCTGTCCCTTGGTGCTCCCCTCCCTTCCCAAGCCCTTAGTGTTCCTCTCCCCCCTATAGTGTTTCTCTCCCCTCTCTCCCCTTCCTGTCCTTTAGTTCTCTCCCCCCCCTCCCCCCTTAGTGGTCCTCTCCCCTCTCCAAGGTGCCTAATTACTTCCCTTATAGTGTGGCGGAGCGCAGTACAGGAGCTTCAGTTTCCTGTACCTAGCCGGACTGACAGGAAGTGCTCTCTCAGTGAGCACTTCCTGTCAGTCCGGCTGGATACAAGAAACTGAAGCTCCTGTACCATGGTCCGTTTTGCTCCACTCGACCACACTACACTGAGTGACTGGTAGGGGGCGCGCTCTGTGCTTCCTTCCTGCTGGTCCCTCTATTCTAGTGCCCCCAGAGCTGGTGCGCCCTAATGCGGCCACATGTTCTGCCTTATGGACGCGCCGGCCCTGCGTGCGCTCGGCCACTGTTGCTTCTCATATTACTGGCAATATCGGTATCACTAGTGTCCGACACCGATATTTGCCAAAATCCGGAATATTTGCCGATAATATCGTCCAAACCGATAATCGGTCTATCCCTAATTATAATGCAGTTAAAAGGTTTCATATTCAATTATTGAGCCTTAGCCATTTATTCAGCTCTGATCTATTTAAGAAATAAATGAATGTTTTTTTTTTTTTTCTTTTTCAATCTGTTCTAATTTTGACACCTACACTGTTGGCATTGCAATGTATGCTGCTTGGTGGTAGGGTAAGCTGTAAAAGCAGAGTACTCAACCCTTTTTAAAAAAATTTTTTATTCACACAGGGTTATTAACTAAAGTCAGATTTCAAAGTGAATTTAAGGCCAAGGTTGCTGAACTGGAAGCATAGCTGATTAGAGAATTTTCCCAATTTGGCTATTTTGGCCTTACATGGAATTTGCCATGATATAATGAACTTTAGCTCTTTTAAAATAGATTAAATTTCTGTCTATACATTACATTTGCTAGTAAAACTGCACGGATATAGATTCGGAAAAAAAATCTATTAAAAAAAGTGTTTTTGTTTTTTTCCCTCCTGTCTGATTCTCAATTCCTTAGCAGACACTCAATACCAAAGAATTGACAGCCTGGGAGAGCAAAAGAGAACTCTCAAAGGACTGCCCTCCGTTCTCCACCCAGAGCAAGCACAGCGCATGCGCTGTGGTTGCTACGGGAACTGCCTAGCCAGCACAGATAGCTGGGAATGGATAAATGTCATCTCCCTCCGTTCACATACAGACACGCTGTCAACAAAGTCATTGTGTGGGTGTCATGGAAGAGGTGTGCCATGCTTGGGTAAGTGTTCCAAAGCAGGGCAAATCAACAAATACTATAAGCAGAGTGTGTGTGAAGTGTAATATTAAAATTCCCTTTGAATTTACTTTGAGTTACTCTGACAGTGATGAATAGAGAGATGGAGGTTGTACTCGGAGAGTGGGGAGCTGGAGTAACCAGGCTGCTAAAAGTTTGTATCGAAAAGTTTGAAGGCTTTTTAGAGGGTTTGTAACGTATAAAAGTAGGCATAAGAGGTGTCATGCAGCAACAAGTGTACAGTAATTAAATACAAGGATTTAGAGGGCTGTTGTGTCTTTATTTTGAATGAATAACTGTGTAATATGAAAAGCCCAGACTCTCCACGCTAATGTTTGTTGCTTAGTAATAG